TTTATCATATCTTATAAAATCGATCAACAATGTTTTAGTATTTTTTTTAGACGGAGGCTAATATTTTTGATACATTTTTTTTGACATCAGAAATATACTTCAGCATGTTTTCTTTAAAAGTTATTTACAGCAATGTAATATAACACTTCTGGAGTATATTTAGGAGAGTCTGGGGAATGTATGTCTCTGACTTAAATACGGAAATTTAAATTTAAAATGTGTAATGACAATGACTAATAATTAAGGTTTTCTTATGCAATTAGTTTATACTCTGTTTATTTTTACTTTTGGTCTTAGTTGCACCGAACAAATAAAAATTAAACATTTATTAAATTTTGTTATTTAAATTGATATACTTAATAAAATTTAACTATACTTAATAAACGAATAACTTAATAATTATTACGAATAAATTGATTTCAAAAGAATAAGTTTTGAATTGAAGGTATATATGTATTCAAGGGGTTAAACTTCTTTCTTCACCTTAAAATTTAGAATTACTTAATGCATTACTTCTTAATACTTAATTTACTTAAACGCTATTAATAGAACGTGTAATAAAATTAAAAAGTGAATTTTAAATTCAATTTTAATGAATAAGAATTTTGAAAATTCAGTCCCTGAGTGATTTAAAAGCTAAATTATATTATTAGCGTAAAAGTAAATGCATAATTAGGTTCAATTCAATTAAAAATATAAAATTAATTTTATATAAAAGAATTTTTTTTTCACAATCATTAAACTTTTTTTTTGTTTTCACTAACAAAATTTAATTATAATATTTGAACGTTAATTTTCCGCTTTTGTTTTTTTTATAAGTAATTGGAAATGTTGTTTTAAATTGGCACATGATTTTGCAAGTGATCATTTCTAGGTCTGTACTGAGTGCAAAGGTCACTATTGTTTTGAACTTTTAAAGTGGCCATCAAAATTCTTTGGTTTCAATAAATTTGTTTTTGTCGTTTTAGGTGGAAAATTGTCGTTTTTGCTATGGAGAGAAACGAAAGAAAAAGAGGAAAATTGTTATCAGAAATTCATATTACACTTTTCAGAATATGTAATATCAATTTCTGATCATAAACTGTAAGCATCAATACATCTAGCAATACATATAATACCAATTATGTATACTTAATGTAAGAAATTTAAACATAAATATTTTTTTGACGCTAAAAAGTTTTCAATTATTTGCATATTACAAAAATTCTTATCTGCACAATTTACGGTAAAGTTTAATCAACATTTGCTTTGAAGTTAGCTAAAAAGAACTAATTCGACACCGTTTTGAGTTAAAATAATAACACTTAGAATCACAATATGATAGCGCAAACAATAAGAATTACCATGTCAAGGGATTTAAATGGAAAAGTTAATGCCGCTTCCTATAATCAATCTTCATTCAGTTGGGATTAAAAATAAGAAAAGGAAAACTTTCAAATACCTAATTTTAGGCTTTGTGTCTGCCTAAAATTTTGTACTTTTTTAATTTTGTTTTATCTTTTATTTTGTCTACTTTTGTAAACACATATGTAACGATGCAAAACATTCACGATTATAAATAGTTTTTAAAAAATTTTTTAAAATACTCGATTTGTTTTTACTTACGATAGTTATGTGTTGGTGACAAACAAGTATGTACATATATGTATGTCGGTTTTATATTGTAGCAAGCACACGTTGACAATTTATTTCGACTTTAAATACAATTTCGGATTTCGCTAAATTCATGCAAATACATTTTCGGAATTTCTACGTACATGTATGTACACATATATGTACATATATGTACGTATTTAGTGTTTATTTATAGCTAAATTTAGGGAAACATTTTTTAATTTTTCTTATTCAAGTTATGCAATATTTAATAATTTTTTGCATTGAGTAAAAAATACCAAATACGAGTAGAATACTTTTTTTTTAAATTTAAATTTTTGACGCTTGTCAAAGGATTTAAATAAAAAGTTAATGATATTTCCTCAAATCAACCTTCCTTCAGTTGGGATGCTTTGGGCTTATTTAATTTTGTTTTATATTTGTTATAATTTTACCATATATCTGATTTCATGCAATTATTGTATCAATTTTAAAGTTTTTGATGTTTGTGTTTAATTTTGTATCATGATGAATTTTCTAATTTGAACTTTTAAATTTAATCTAAACCATCAGTTTAAGATCCGAATACTTGGCCACTTTTAAAAGTTGAATACTTGATCAACAAAATCGAAAAAAGTTATTATGTTATTATTAGTTTAACTCTATCGGTCCGTCCTTGTGTCCGTGCTTCTGTTTACAAAACTTCTACACCTTTTGGGATAGAAACCTGAAATTTTATTTATGTACAAATAAATCCTAGTTTTTTCAGAAACCTATTTCTCTAGAAGTCTAAAAGAAAAATTTTGCCTACCTTACCCCTCTTTAGAAAAAATTAACCTATAAATTCCCGAAAATATCATTTTTTGACAATTTCTTGTATTGAAACCAATTTTTTAAATTCCAAAAAAGGAGAAAAGTATCGACTTGTTTCTTTTATCGTGAGATAGCACATAGTCAATAAAATAATCAATATTAGTAGTTGAGTAAAAATATATAGTTAAATGGCTCTTTTTTTTCGTAGTATTTAGAAACGCTTTATGACATTACTGAAACTTACTTCCGAAACTTATTTTGCAAACAGAAATTTGTGTGTTAAAATATCTCTCGTTGTAAACAAAGGTCATCCATGAACATTTTCTTATTTTATCGTGAAAGCTTTTAAATAGTTTTTAGAAATTGTTAATCTTATGATATATAAATCTGTACTTATGCTAGTAAGTATACGAATTTTATCATTGAAGAATTAATAGATGTTTCTTGGTACACTGCACCGTAAATAATTATTCAACAGTAAAAAAAAATTAAATCTATAAATGAAATGGGTCAACTATAAATTAAAATGCTTTTGTTTTGCAGCCATTGTTTAATTTTCAATTTTTTTTCTTATTGTCTCTTAACTGCATTGAAATCGAAGTTTTTTTTTCCATATATTCCGGTTAATTTTTATTTATGTTTGAAAAAAGTTATGATCCATTGCACTCTTTAACCTAAACCTTTGGATTAACATTCTCCAACTTGATTTTTTTTTTTGTTACAAATTTAACTTTATTTGATTAAGTATATACTAACTTACACGGGTTGTTAGTTTTTTCGTTCTATTCATTCGACTATGATTTACATACTAATTGGATTGATATTTAAATTTAAAGACGTATAAAACACATATTATTATTAAATACTAAATTGTCTATATATACATATGTAACATATATGTGCATATTTGGTTAATAAAGTATTTTCATGACTTCTTTTTGAATATATTTTGAATATTGTAATATAGTTAAGAAAAAAATGAATTCAAGAAGATAGACAAGAAGTGGTTTTCCGGCTACCTACAACTTTTCTTTTCTTTGTTACTTTACTAAGTCTTTTTTCTTATAAAATTTCTCTTACATTAATGTGGTTTTACAGCAGTTTATTATTATTTTTCATTTTTCTTTTGTCGTTTGTTTTATTTCATATGGATGAGAGAGAAAAACAGTGTGTCTAAATCTAACGTTTTTAGGTTAACTGCGTAATGATTATTTAACCATACCATATGTATATAAATATTACTTGTATGTGTAGTAGGAATACTTAAACTATAACTTGTTGAATAAGAATTATGTTGTACGAAAAATCATATTGTAATCCTTGAAAATGCCCTCTTTCCTCTTGAAATTGGGAAATAATACAAATAACGTAGATATTTTCAAAAAATTCCAAGTTTATTTGAACAACAAAAAATTTAAGCAATAACATCAGATAGAAGTGCACTGCTTAAAATTTTGAAAAAGAACAATGCAAATCAGAAAACAGGATCTTTAAACTAGGTATATGTATTTGGAAGGCTTTATTAGCAATTTGAATGCGGTCATAATTCGCTAAGATGCATAACTTGAAGTAATTTTACTTTATTACAGTTTTCAACATAGATCCGTAATTCAAAATTAATTTTATTTTGCAAATTTAAAACTTTTCAATTTAATATTAGTAAAATAGAGGTATAGAACACTTAAAATTATGTTGATGCTGCGAATATGATGCTAGGAAGAGTATATGTATATATTGCCTAAAAATAAATTTTTGTATAATTATTACAATTCGAAAACTATATATTGTGTTTTTACATTTTGATATTAATACTTAATTTTTAGGTATCTACAACAATATAACTTTGTCCAAAAATCGATGTATTTAAGCATAAACAAACCAAAGCTTTTAAATACAGTCGGTCACTCTGTACACATGTTAATAATTTTATAAAATTCTTCTTGCCTACATGCATATACGAGTATAAAGTAGTTCCATATGCATGTGCTGCCGTCAAGTCGAAAAAATACATTCTTATAAGAATACATAATTGTTCTTCATTTTGTGCAGACAAACTGTTTAACCTTTCTTTTTCAAATTTTAGTAAAAAATTTAATAACGGTTTTCCATCATAAAAAACCAACATGAAATTAAAAGATTGCATTAATGTAAGAAGGTTTACGCATTCAAGAATAAAACATCCATTGTTGGTTTATGCTTTATTATTTGTAAAAGAGTAGCAACTAGTCTTGGGAAACAAACTGGTTAAGAAAGTTAAAATTTCAATAACATATTGAATTAAATTAACAGCATATGCCCAAAACAATTTTCTTTTTGTATTTTAACAAAGTAGTTGCTTATTTTCTGTTCTATACTTTTAAAAATCTAAATTTTTCTGTAAAAAATTCACAATTATACGCAAACAATAGCTTTTAAACTCCTGAGTCCTGAAGTTCGTTAAGTTCTATATTAGTTTATAAAAGTTGGTTTTCATTACAGAAAATGATAAATTTTAAATTTTTCAATTGTGCGCATATGTATTTAAATCCCATTTTTTCAGTCTTTCATTATTAATTTGTAATTTTTCTTACTTAATTTATTCTTTTCTTTTTCAGAATTTTTCGAATTGGCGGAATTACTTTGATAAATTATTACAATATACAAAATTATAGAGGTGAAATATATTATTGTATAGCTCTCGCCACATTGTAGTTTTGAAACTAACTAAATTATGAAAGTTTAAAAAATTTTATTGTGGAATCTTGTAGTAATATTATAGATATCTATACTTTTGCCTACAACTTTTGGACACTAAGTCAATTAAAACTAAAACAATTTGTGGTTCAACATTTGACGACAACCAAAAAACAAATTCAGAGGAAATAGTAGAATTGAACAGGATTAAAAATTAGATAAATGTTCAGTTTAATGCCATGATGCGGTACTCAGAAATTTCAAGAGAACTATCATCAGACAGTCTGAGATTTGCAGAAGTGAGCACTCCTTTTAATTTAATTATTTAATTAATAAAGTATAATATTAATTTTCATTTATTTAATTAAAGTATTTATAATTTTTATTATTCAATTTTTTTTATTGTTAATTAATTATAGAACAGTGAAAATTATATTTATCGAAATTTACGTGACGAATCACCAAATAGCGACATATCTAACAATAGTGGCCCACTATCAAATTCACCAACATTAAAAAATAACACAACAATTAATAATACACCAGAATCTAGGAATAATTTCTATTATCGGGAGCATCGTTTAAGTTCTATTTCAAATAATGGTGGAGATATGGTTGATCAATATCAATGTATGTCACCAAGTAAATCGATAACAATGAAAAATGGTATTAAACAACCATTTCAACAGTCAGACGGTGTAGCTACTGTTTCAACAACAGAAGAAGGAATATTGTCATCTGCATTTTATTTGCCTAGCGGATGCCGATATTCTGACAAGAGAGATAGTAATAAGACATCTAATTCAGTAGTTGCTAACAATAGCATAAACAGCAATAGCACTATTTCTCCTGGTGGAGGTTCATTTCTGAGTCGTAATAACAGCAAAGACTGTGATAACATTTCTGTACGTGGTATAACAATATCTGGTGGAAGTAACAACGGCTCTGGAAGTGGAAAGAGTTCAAGAAGAAAAAATTCAATTGGTTCTGCTTTGGGTTCAGCATGTTTAACGGCGATGTCTTCGTCACCTACTTCTGGTTGTTATTATCATTATGGGTAAATATAATCATTTGCAATTGAATTAAACTGAGTTTTTCAATTTATTTGACTTTATTCTTTTGTTGAGTTAATTTTTATTTTGATAGGAGCAATAACTGTAACGTGTATTGCTTTTTACGTGGCTTTTACGTAAAAAGTGTAGGTTTTAAATGTATAGTAGAAAACATAGTTTTTAAATTTTTGCCCTATACCTCTGCTTTAATCCTAGTCCTTCAGAAAAATGTAAAGAGTTAATTATAAATTTGATAACATGAAAAACTAAGTGAAACAATAGTGTAGATTATTTCAACTTAAAATAAGAAAAAATCATTGCCTGGAATAAAAAAAATTCAGAAAGTTCCAAAAATCTTGCCCAATTTAAAAGTCCCAATTTTTGATGTAAGAGGCATAAGAGCATTCTAAGCATCGGATCTAATTTCTTCCCTCAGTTTTGTGTTAAAGGGACTGAAAATTCTTTTTTATTTAACATTTCGTTCATTTTGAACACGTAAACAAGATATTATATAAAATAGTAATATAATACAAGGCATTATATAATATAATTAGTGATTCATTTTAAATTTTTTCAGATTTTAAAATTTTGTTTGCCGAATTTGGCTTTCCAGCTTTTACTCTCAAAAGAAACCGTTCATTTAGGTACAAGATAATGTCTAGAGAAATTGCAAATTTGAACGCTGAATGGAACTTAATAAACTTGTTTTACGCATTCTAGTACAAGTACGGCTGAACTTTTCCTCAAATTTAGTATTTCTTATTCACGAAGTTAAAAATATATAATAAAATTTGTAAAGTAGAATTTCAATTATATTCGAAATGTCTTTTGTAAATTAAAATTGAGTTGATTTGAAATGAAAAAAAGTTCATTTTGAAATGAAGAAACATCACAAAAAGGTTCCTTTAGGAATTAGAAATATTTTACTACGTGGGAGGTCAATTAAAATGAAAAAAAATTACATAAGTAACAATTTTGCCCGAATAACTTTTGAACGGATATTTAATTTTATTTTAGGTCAACCCCACCAGCAAAAACTCAAAGTTTGCCACCGAACGCTTCTATAAAAAATTATGATGAAGTTATTATGAGTGCATTGAGGGTTTCTGCTGAAGAACTGGCAAATCAAATAACACTTTTAGATTTTCCATGTTTTGCTGCAATACAACCCGACGAATTAACAAGTTGCGCTTGGACTAAAAAAGATAAACATGTAAACACACCAAATATTGTTGCATTTACCAAACGATTTAATCACACAAGTTTTTGGACTGTGCAAGAAATTTTAAGTGGAGATACGCCAAAATTTCGGGCTGAAATTTTGACACATTTTATTAAGGTAAATATGTCAAACACTATAAAAAACTTACGCTTCACATTGTTTATCTTTAAATGCGTTTCTTTTTTCAAATCATAAATAGTTTTTGTGATTTATTAAAGTCTTAAATTTTAATTTTTAGGTTGCAAAAAAACTTTATGAATTGAATAATTTGCATTCTCTTTTTGCTATAATATCAGCAATGCAATCAGCTAGTATATATCGCTTAAAGAAAACTTGGTCCTGTCTTTCTAAAAAAGACAAGCAATCATTTGATCGTTTAGCTGATATTTTTAGTGATCAAAATAATTGGGAAAATTTGCGTGAATATTTGGAAAGTTTACGTTTACCATGTATACCATATCTAGGGCTCTATTTAACTGATTTGATTTACATTGATTTAGCGCATCCCCATTCTGGGGGACTAGAACCAGAACAAAGGCGTAATAAGATGAATAATATATTGAGAATGATTTCAAATTATCAACATTCAGATTATCGACATATTGTACCAATTGAAAGGACTCAAAAATATTTACAATCTATAAGATATATTGAAGAGTTGCAGAATATATTTGAAGAGGATCAATACAAGTTAGTGCAAGTAGAATATAAATTTAATAGAATTTGGTTTGAAAAGAAGTAAACAAAAATCAAACCATACCCTAAGAAATATAAGAGAAACACATTTCGTATTTAATTTTGCACAAAAAAAATATAAAGTATTTTATAAACACTCAAATATTTAAATATTTGAATAAAGTATATTCTCTTATATTATTCAGTTTTGAAATTAAAAATTGTCCTTTAATTTTTTTGAAATGTTTTTTGTTGATTACATATGTATCCATATATTTTGCTATATTTTTACAAACAAATTAAAAGTATGAGAAATAATTTCAATTGTGCTATAAAACTTGATTAATAATAAAATTAAAAGCATAAAAAAATATTATTAATTAACTATGTTATAACATTATTAAGTAATTAACATGATTATTTATTGTAAAAATATTAATTTCTTTTTTCATTTTTAGGAAATCTTTGAAATTGGAACCATCATCGTCTGTTCCTAGCTCCTCATCTTGTAGTTCAAAAGAATCATTTAATGTTGATGCAGCTCCAGCATTGGCATGCTTAAATTTGTCACCAGCAAAAACTGGTTCTGTCAGAATATCAAACACCGGAGCTCAAAAATTCATTCCAGGACATCGAAAATGTAGAAGTTTAGGTTCAAAGTAAGTAATACAATAAAACTGACTGAGCTAATCTATCTTTGAATTTGTCTTATTTTATTACTCAGAAAATATTAGAGAAAAGGATGTAGATATAATTATCATTTTTATTGTTTGCCATAATTTCATTTATATTTCATAAAAATTCATCTGATTATTTTTTAGTTAAATTCAGAGAATCAAATCAATTAATATATTTATTTAATAAATATACATACATACATACATATACTACATAAATTTAATATAAATTTTGAAAATATATTCATAATTTAATTGAAAATTAATTATATTTTTCTTTGTTTTGTTTTCTATTTCAATTGTAATAATGTATTTTTGCTTATATTTGCCAACATTTTATGCGTTTCGTTTTTGATTGTTGTCGATGCATTGATACGAATAATTTTTTTTATATTGTATTAAACAAAACATTTATTTTTTTAATTTTATATATTCAAATTAAACGAAATTTTAAATATTAATAATCCCACATACATACATACATATATACATGCATATACATAGATTTCGTAGTACAAGTTTACCTAGAAATTTTTATCAAAAATGTCAATGCCCGATAATAATTATTGCACCTGGAATTGGTACTATTTCGAATAAACGATGCAAATGTCGGTGAGTTTTAATTTAAATTTGCAAAAAAAAATATTAAAATTATTAAAAAATTTTTACATGTTATGTACATATATACTGTTAAAAATATTGTTTTCTTTTATTATATGGAAATGAAATCTTTTTGAGATCAAAAAATATATTATATGTAGATATATTGTTGTTGTAAATAAAAAACTGCAAATTGTTATCAAACTCTAAAAAATGATTGTGTTAATTTTATCTTTTAATACTTTTCACATTTCTAAAAGTTATTTTTGTCTTATGCATACAAAGAAGAATTTGATATGTAATCACAAAATTAGTTGTTTATTAAAATTAAACTGTAGAATAAAGTTTCGATATATCACCCGAAGTTTTATAATACATTCTTTTGGATTTGAATTATGTTTATCACGCATGATCTTAGACAGAAATTTATCCTTGCGGATTTGGAAAAGGTTATGTCCTTTTGTGGCTCTTGTCCAATTTGTTATAAATTTTGAAATAACAATTTATTTTTAAATTAAAACTCTTGTTAAATTTGAGCATAAGTTGAACACATTGGTTTCAATAAAATTTTTTTCAAGTTCGAAGTTCTCGTAAATTAGTTTAAATTTATATATTCTTTTAGTTCTATTCTAATTTTACATGTATAATGCACATGTAATTTATTTCCAAATGTTATGATTAAATTTAAAGATCCAGTATTAATTCTTTTTTGGATTTTACTTTCATTGCAACGTTAATCTAATTACATATTATATATTTTTTATAATATTTTAAAATTTCAAATTATATGTTTTGTTACATAAAAGTATTAAATTAATATTTTACTCATACTGTTTCTTAACTATGATTAAGCTGTTAGTAAAAAATAGAATTAACAATCAAAAACTATGTTTTCTTAGCGTATAGCGTTTTTGTGTGTTTTTCTAGCAGTGTAAGTTAAATAAAGATGCAACATATTAACAATTTGTGTTTAAAATAAATAGAAAAAGCTGCTTATTGATAAATATTTGGTGAATAAAAATTGGTTTATTAAAACATGTCGACTACTTATAATATAAGTAAACAAATTAACAATAGAAAAATAAAGTTTCTTATCAATAGCACTGTTAGACGATGAATTTTTTTCAATATTCTGTTTCTCTAAATTTTTTTATTTCATTTACGCTTTGCATATATTTCTACAGCAAACCTTTAATATTCTATAGTTTAAAGTTATACTTTGATTTATTTTTTATTACTTTGTTGAAAAATCATTTAGTTTAAAAAAACATTTTTCTAAAAGAAGCCTGGAATGTATCGAATATTTAAATCTATTATTGAGTAAAATACAACTTATTATCATGTAGCTATATTAAAATTTTATAAAATTATCCTTTTAAAGCTATTTCATTGTCATAATTCTTTATTTTCTTCAATTAAAATGTAAAAGTACAGTCATATTATATGCATACGCTTAAAATAAATTGTTAAATTGAAATTTGCAAAAGTATTCTAAATAATTTAAAGAATGTAAGTATTAAAGTTAAATATTAACACGAAATTTTAGGAGAATGTGATAATTGGCCAAAAGTTAGATGGAAATTACAAGCGTTAGTGTTATAGAGTTAATTCAACATAAATGATTTTTACTTTGAATCCAATTTTTTTTTTTATTTTTTCAATTTGAATTTTGCTTGTAAGAAAAATGCATTCAAGCACTCAAGCAACAAATTTTTGTGAAATATTTTACTTTTTTTTTAATTTATTGCCTTATCATAAAATAAATTACATATTTGATAACTTATTTTGTTTTTCACATCATGTTTTATAACATTTTGTTAAAACATTGCTTTAGGTTTCATTTTATTTCAAATGTTTTGACCTGCATTCTAATTCATGCATATTAAAAATTTTTACAATTTTTCTTAAAAACTAGTGAATTTGCGGGTAGGAATTCAATAAATTCTTATTACTGAAACGATTTAAATGAAATCACCTCTCATGTTCACATGTTGTTTTAAGTTTTTTTTTAATTGTATTGTAGGGTAATTTCTTTCACTCTTTTCGCATAGTACAAATTCCCTTATTTGTACTCTAAAATATTTCGAATAATTAAAGTTTAAAATTTGTTTTTAATTCTTTTTTTTATCATGATTTTGTAGCATTTTTGGGAAGTTCAATAGTACTCATCATCATCATCATCATCCAGAAATTGTTACAGCAGATGGTTCAGAATGTCTTGCCAATATTCATCAATTACCACGCCATTTACTTGATGATTCGGTACTTGAAGATCAAGTAATAAATAGTCACTGTCAAAAACGTCCGAGTAGTGGAACACAACTTGCATCAGATGCAACATCGACTGGAAGTTCTGATGGTGTTTTATTTTCATTAGATATTGATGCTGCAGATTACAATTTTCAGTCGCTAAGTTTTCAAGGATGCGTAAGACGTAAAACAATATTAAAAGAAGGTAGAAAACCTGTTGTTGTATCTTGGCAACGGTACTGGTTACAAATTTGGGCTAATTCATTGGTATATTTCCCACCGAAATCATTTAAAGGTTCTGAAAGAACAGACTTTAAACGTGAGCCGTGTAAAGTCTGTCCATTGGATGGTTGGTCGGCTCAAGTTTCAGACAATTCAAAACACAAAAATACATTTGAATTATATAATCCAACTTTAGGTACCGTTTATAAATTTCGTACAGATTGTGTGAATATGACCGAACGATGGGTAACAGCCATTTGCAAAGCGTCATCCAAAAATTTTGAGAGACCACTACCAGCCAATTTAATGTCTTTTGAATAATATTATTTGTAAGCCTGCCTCGACAAGACCTGAATAAAGAAAAGAAAATTATGTGAAACTTGATTAGTTTAATATTAGCTTTTAAATTTTTTTTGCTAATTGTTTTAAAATAAAACTTTATGTGATTTGAAGAGCGTAGTTTAAATACCCTGACAAAAATTCAAATTATTATTATTGAAAATCTGTTAAATCATAAGTTTGTTTGTAAAATTTTCACTTTACATTTTATGATTTTTTAATTGCAAAATGCTTAAAAATAGTTTCGTATTATCGTTTATTGTGTGTGATTTTATAAAATTGCTCTTGAAAAAGTAATTTATATAACTATTAAAACTAGTAAATCGATATTGAATTATTAAATCGAAATTATCTATGCTAAAAAATTAATTATAATGTAACTATTAACAATGTTATTAATGCTATTAGAATTTTTATAAAAATTTTAAATGTATAAAAATAAAAAATCCTTTGTTCTTCATGTCACAAATTTTTCATATCTGTTTTTTAAAAATAAAAATAATAGGCTTAAAATCTTATAAAACTCAATGGTATTATTGTCATCATCATCGACTATCAAAAGACTGAAAAGAAACAACTTGCGTCAAAAAAAATTTTTTTTTGGTTGCAAAGCTTTAAATTTCAATATATTATCTAGTTTTGTTTTACTCTTTAGAAATTCGTTTAAATAAATTTAAATTAATTCATATCATTAATACATACATATATTAAAATAATATAAATGATTCCTAATAGAGGCTTTAATAAAAAGAGAATTATAAAAATCAAAATGAACAATTATTCTTTTTATTGTAATACTGTTAGTTAACGAGTTCAAAAAAATATACAGCATAATAAAGTTTATCCGTTTTTGTCTAAAATTTTTTGGTAGGATTAAAAAATTACTTTTCACTGTATATTAATTTTTAGTTTTGTCCTCATATAATACGCATATTAAATTAGAAAGCAATGATTTTTAAATTTATTTCGAAAAATATTAACTATTATCTTAAGTTTAATGTAAGTTGATATTTCTATTAATATTTGTTAATATAAATCGTTGATATTTAAATTAAAAATTTCGTTAAAATAACTTTTGATATATTCGTATATGCATAACTACTTTGAGCTTCTATCATATTACATTTACTATAAAATTTAAGATAAAATCTTAGCCAAACAAAGCTCTCTCAACGTTTATGTATATAGAAAATTTATTCTATAATGTAACTAAATGCAAGTCGAAAATAATACAAAGAATACTATCATTTAAAATAATTTGATGTATATAAATATATTAGTATAATATACAGATTACAGTTAATTTAAGTTAAAGAATTGTTTTATATACCCGTATATATATCTATATTTATGTATGAATATATTATATAGAATAGTATATGTAACTTAATAATTATATTGAAATATGAATTGTATACACACAAATATACATAAATACATATTTATATTATATGTAGTTACATACTTATATACCTATATAATATATACATGTAGCTATTTATGCATATATTTAAATATGTATATTGAAAAACTTAGAATTATATTTACTAAAATTGTAATTAATCTTAATAATAATTACAAATTTTAAAAAGAAAAAATATGATTTTTTAGTAATATTTGGAAAGTAGTTGCAGATGGAAGCTAATTACCTATTATTTTCTTTTTTTTCAGTTTATGTAAAAATATTGAAGTTTATACCCAACCCGTGTTATAATAAAGACCATTTAAAATTGTCTTTAAAGTTTATATTGTGTTTTGTTTCCCAAATAGTCCTTTATGGTGATTAAATTTTACCTTACAACATTTTTGCGAAATTAATTCAGTTAACATAATTTAAAATCTATTGTTGTATAAAAAACGTACATTATGCGACAAAAAGGTACTGAAAGAATTATGCACATATGTGAATTTCAGATTCATTATCATTATGTTTAATATGACATCGCATAAAAAATATAAGTAGAAAGTAAAAAATAAAAATTTTCATATAGACAATAGATGAAGATGCAATGGAAAAAACAAAAGGATTGATTACCCCAGGTGGTAAGCCATAGTTTGGTAAATCCACCCTCCAATGAGGTCGGTCCCACGGATTCTGGGGGGGGAGCCAACTATTGCTTAATTCAACTTCGACGTCGGTAACTCCGACAAATAGAATTTCGGGGAGGAGCACATTAACACCGCGTGCTCCTCCCAATGTTAAGGCGTCTGAAGCCATGTCAGGTGAAAACAACCAAAGTGACAACACGGAGAGTCAGATACCTGAGATAAACGTGTCCGAGAAGTACACTGTACGTAGCACGGTTAACCGAAAGGATGATGTTTTAAATGTAAGTCTGTCAGAAATTCAAACATTATGTCAAAAACTTAGAAACGAAATTAAAGAACTAAAAAAAGAAAACGCAGCACTGAAAGCAGCGCTGGAAAACGCAAAAAGAAACAATAATAGCTCAAATAATTCAGAACCACCAAAAGTAGCAAGTGTGCGTACAGCATCTAGCACAAGTGAAGAGGACTTTACTGGCTTTGAAACCGAAGACAGCAACACTAATTTATCTAATTTTTTTAATATTAAATCAAAGCTTGCCACGAAAAGAAAGGCCAAAAATCACCCGAAAAACCTATAGGTGTCAGTTCAAAAAAAATAAAAAAGTGAGCAAAAGAAAACTAGTAAGCAAAGTATACACATTGAACAAACCCCATCTCAAAATATTGAGGTAGGAAAAAATGTTCAAGGAAAAGAACAAGCTAAGAACAATAAAAACACAACAGAAGTAGACAGAACGGATAAGCATATTCCACCACCTATCTATGTCTCTGGAATCGAAACCTTTCATTTCCTTAAGGAAGTCACAGCAGATGCAACCAAAGAACCATGTAAATTTACTTTTTTCAAGGATCAGAACTGGAAAGTTAATACTCCAAGCAGTGACTCATACAGGGCTCTTACCGCAAAACTGAATCAACTTCAAATACAATACCACACCAATTAGAGTTGTAGCGAGAGGACTTGATTCGTCTTGTAAGGAAAAGGACATACTTGAAGACTTGTTAATGCAAGGTTTCAACGCCGTAAGTGCGATAAATTTGATAAAAAGAGATACTATCACAAACCAAGATGGCTCCAGAATAGTTAGAAGAATTAAAATGCCAGTGTTCACTTTAACATTCAGCAAAGAAAATGATTTGAAAAAAATCTACAGCATTACTTCGGTTATGGGCATAAAAGTCAAAATAGAACCTATTCACAAAAAGGTCAGCAGAATTGTTCAATGTACAAGATGTCAAGCTTTCAATCATACCCAACGGTACTGCAACAGAAATTATAAATGTGTCAAATGTGCTCAGAATCATCCCTCTGATCAATGCGAAATAAATAAAAGCGTACCTGCTACATGTGTCAACTGTCGGGGCGAGCATCGCGCAAGCTATAGGGGTTGTCCGTTCGCAAAAGATCAACAGAAAAAGAGACTCAAGCTGTTATCTGAAAAAAACTTTCCTTCGCATCAAGAAAAAAAGGTAAAAAGTGCTTCAGAAGACAAGGTTAAAAATACTAAGGACACTATAAAAAGCATCCCAAGTCATAGCAAAGATGTTGAAAATACATATTCGGATATTGTTAAGAATCATAGGAAAAATGAAGAAGACTCGATCAAGGTGCTGTTGAATTATATTATTAAAAGGCTGGACGAACAGGAAAAGTCCTACGAAAAAATTATTTATGAAATAAGCAAGCCAAGACCTCTCCAACTTAAAAATAAGCACAAATAATGACTCGTCCCTTACGTATAACTACATGGAATGCAAACGGATTATTGTCCCGTCTAAAAGAACTTGAAATATTTCTTAATTACTATAATATTGATATCTACTTAATATCCGAGGCACATCTTACTAACCAGTCATATGTTAGTATTTGTAATTTTAACTTCTACTTTACTTCCCTTCCAAACGACGTTGCACATGAAGGTACAGCAATATTTGTCAAGGAAAATCTATTGTCGTATGAAGATTACAAAATTGAAACATCAAGTATCCAACTCACAACAACCTGCATCCAAACTAAAAATAAAAATAAAATATTCAAAGTATCTGCTATTTACTGTCGACCTGGCTTTTCCATTCAGAAAGAACAGTTTGTAGATATATTTAGTCATCTTGATAACAATTTCATAATTGATGGCGACTTCAACGCTAAGCACAATTTCTGGGGTTCGAGACTGGTAACTCCTAGTGGCAGAGCCCTTTTTAACGCTGCAAGAGAAAAAAATTGTGATTTGCTATCAACAGGCTCCCCAACATATTGGCCATCTGATCCAAACAAAAACCTGACTTTTTGGACTTTTTTGTCTTTAAAGGAATTAATAGCAACTTCTTGGAAATTAAATCACATTTCGACCTGAATTCTGATCACACTCCAGTAACACTGACTATTAATGGCAACTTTATTGAAAAGGAAACTGCTCCCCGATTGATAAATAAAAAAACCGACTGGGAGGTATTCAAGGAAAAACTAATATTCTTCTCACTGCCTGGGCACGTAATTCTCACATGTGCACAACTGGACAAAAAGGTCGAGCAACTTACGGCGGATATACAGCAAGCTGCACTCGAAAGTAGCCCTGCAATTAAGTCAAAGAACGTGCAAAAGAGTTATCCTTCTGAAATTGTACAGCTAATCAAAGAAAAAAGAAAGGCTAGGAAAAAGTGGCAAATCGCAAGATGTGGCAAAACAAAAGTTAATCAATTAAACAACAAATTAAGAAAGCTGGTTACTTTCGAAAAACGAGTCCATCAGAAAGTATCTAAGCGAACTGGATAACTATAAAGAAACAGATTACTCATTATGGAAGGCAACCAAAAAAATCCAGCGTCCAAAAATCCAGGACCCGCCAATTAAAAAACCAAACGGCCAGTGGGCGAAAACTGAGAAGGAAAAAGCTGATATCTTTGCTCTTCACTTGAAAAGTGTGTTTAAACCCTTCCCTAAGTTGAGTGTTGAGGAAGATACCAGTTATATTTATAAAAACGACGTGGCAGAAATTCCGTTAACAACATTAGCCGAGCTCAAATCTGAAATTAATAACATCAGTAACAAAAAATCTCCGGGCTTCGATCTCATCATTGGTGAAATCATGAAGAACCTACCCCACATCGCGTTATTAAGATTCAAAGAAATTATAAACTCCTGCTTTAAGTTAATGTACGTTCCTAAAACATGGAAAATTGCAGAAATCATAGTAATATTAAAAACGGGCAAATCCCCTATTGACGTCTCGTCGTATAGACCTATATCGCTGCTGCCAATTATGTCAAAAATCTTTGAAAAACTGTTGTACAGAAGATTAGCTCCCACTATTCAACATCGAAATCTAATACCTTCACATCAATTTGGATTCCGGGATGGTCATATGACTATTCAGCAAGTACATCGGGTAACCAATGAAATTGAATCAGCTCTCGAAGCAAAACAAGTTTGTACTGGAGTTTTTCTTGATGTGTCGCAAGCCTTCGATAAGGTCTGGCTGGAAGGCCTGAAATTCAAAATTCATCGTGACCTCCCATTTCAGTATTATGAAATACTAATCTCATACTTGACGAACAGAGAATTCCGTGTAAGATATGGCGGGAAGTATTCTGACTTAGAAAACATAAGTGCTGGTGTTCCACAGGGCAGCGTCCTTGGTCCTTTACTATACTCTTTATACACGTAGGGAGTCAAGTCACCACAGCCACATTTGCGGACGATACCACACTGCTAGCAGTAGCTGGCAATGTCAATACATCAACTGGAAAGGCACAAGCTGCAGTGGATGACGTTGTAAGCTGGGCAAAGAAATGGCGCATAAAACTTAACGAGTCTAAATCCGCACATGTGAACTTCACAAACAAAAACATTTCAACACTCCCGATCACAATAGACTCTAAAACAATACCATATTCGAATTCTGCAAAATATCTGGGTATGACTCTGGATGCGAACTTAAGATGGAAAGAGCACATAAAAATGAAAAAGGAGCAACTAAATATAAAACCAAGAAAACTAAATTGGCTGTTGGGCAGTAATTCCGAACTGTCTATCCACAATAAAATCCTAATTTATAAACAGGTGCTAAAAACAATATGGATTTACGGAATCCAACTCCGTAATCCATATTGGTTTTAGCACCTGTTGTTGTGCGAAAAAAACTAATGTGGAAATTATTGAAAGATTTCAAAACAAG